AGATAAATCATTAGAAGTTTCTAAATCAAAATTCTATTTTAAATTTATATAAATATGAATCCAAATTCATCCACATGTATCACAAAACTTTTATTTAAAACTAATATAAAAGTAAATAATTTTCAGCCAACATGCTTTCCATTCTCAGAAAACTTTCTTTCTCGAACGTTAAAAAATATTTTTCAAAACTTTTACCAAACAAACAATACGAAAACCTAATTTACAAAATGGCAACTCCTACTTCTCCAGGGTTTTCTTATTTTCATTTTTTTAATGAAAAGTTCCAAGCAGATATGGCTGAACTGCTTAAAGAAGGTCCAACAGTTCGTCGTGTTGTAGAGATCATACTGCAGAATATTGATCTCTATCCTAATATGCTTGCAACTTATAAAGTTAAACCAAATAGATTTGATAATATACAAGTTTTCAATATTGAAATACCAGATGCAGATGATTGGGAACCTATAGGAAATGAATGGTTTAAAATAAAAGATTTATTATTTTTTATCAGAAAAAATTATCAAACATATAAATTTATGTAAATTGTATATATTTATATTTTTTATCTTATATTTAATAAAAAAATTATTTACTTCTAATATATGACTCTCTCTGGAAAATGTTCATATATTAAATTTCGAAAATAAATAGAAAATATTACAATTATTATTGCAAGTGAAATTAAATATATTGTAATAACACAAATCCAAAAGAAAGTTTTGGATTCAATAATTTTTGTAACAAATTGGTGAATATAAGAATTGTATTCACCAACAGAGAGGTTTGTTAAGAACAAACCCAAAAAAGCAAAGGTAATAACAATGAAAATAATAATTTTTGAAAGCATTTTTATATGATAAAAATTTAAAGAAGTTAAAGTAGTTTTAAGTTTTGATTTGAAAATTTTAAAGTTTTGAAGTTGTAAAACGAGTAAATCGTAATGAACAAGAGACAAAATTTCAACTTTTTTTTATAACAAAATTTTTTATATATTATTTTTTTGAACGTTTAATCTTTAATCCTTCATATCAATTAAAACAAATAAATTCTTGTGCTTTATCAGAGTTGGTATAACAGAAATCAAAAGAATGCTAGTCTTGATCTAATTGATAAGAATCAATAAATATAAATTTAGATAGATTAAAGATTATGCTAAAAAAAGTTATATAAAGATTCCAAATTTAAAACATAAAAATTCAAACATTCTAAATTACTTATATCAAATAAAAATAAAGAATATAAATATTTATTACAAAACATGAATTACTTTTGTTTTATTTTAATCCATTTAACCTTAATTTCTTTGCCTATTTTTTTTATCAATGATTTTTATCACGACAAAAAAATCATGAAAAACATAAAGTTAGACCTTTTTTGGATCTGTGCTATCTCAGTACATATTATTATTAATATTATAATTCTTAGTATTATATATTTTTTTAATAAAAAATTTCTACGATTTATATTAAACAAAGAATTTGAACATTCTAAATCTAAATAAAAACATGATATACAGAAATCAAAGGAATATGAAATCTTTATTTTATCGATAAGAAACAATAAATATAAATTTAGATAAATTTAAAAACAAAAAAAAACTTTAAAATAATTATAAATATGTATTTATTTTTTTGTAAAACATAAATTATAAATTTAAATATCAATGATTTCATTTATTTTTATTATGGGAATATATTTCGGATATTTTTTCTTAAAAACTGTTTTTTGAATCAATAAAACTAAAAAAGGTAATGATAATTAAGATAACAAATATTCTAAATTAAAAACAATACAAAAATCTTTCTTATTATCTAAATCTAAAATCACATAAAAATAAATAGAACTTTTTTTCTTCGATTAAAAAAAAAAGATCTTTTTTTATTTATATCTATAAAAAAAATAATCAAATATTAAAATGTCAGAACAAATTTTGTACAATAACTGGCAAAAAGCTAAAAGAGATTCAGAATCTGTATATAACAAATGGCGTAATAAACAAAATCAAATATCAAAATATGGAGGTGCTATTCCTTATAATCTGATACAACAAAAAAAAGCATATAAAAAACAATATGATAATCTAAAAAAACAAGAAAGAGATGCAGAAATTCTTTATCTTAGATGCAAAAATGTTTCTCCTGTATTAAAATTCGAATCTGAAACAGATTTGAAACCTCCTTCTGAATTAGAACCTGAATCTGATCTAGATTTAGAACCTCCTTCAGAATTAGATTAATTTTTTTTTTTAAAAAAATATTTTTTTATATTGTATTAAAATAACTGATAACGTAATTTTTATTATATAAAATATATGTTTTTATTTGTAAAATAATTTATACATTAAATAAAATAAACAATATAAAAAAATAAATAAAACTATATAAATAAAAATAAAATAAATAATATAAATAAAAATAAAATTTGCTGATAATCTAGATAATCATTGTAATCCTTTTATTTGTTCTTTTATATCAACTATCTTATGATTATTTTTCTCCATTTCCTTAATTATTTCACGTAATAATGTAGGTAGTAAATTTTTAACTACACTAAAAATTTCTTTAACATTATCATTTATCTCATCAATCTTTTTTTCTTTTTCATTCATTTTATCCTTCAAGTCTTTGTTTTCATTTTCAAGTTTTTCTTTTTCTTTTTTAAGAGTTTCTAATTGGTCTTTTATAGAATTGTAATCTACATGATTTCTTTTATATTGTTCATAGAGATCATTTAATTCTTTTTTATCTTTTTCTAAATTATCTATAACTTTTTTTTGTGTTTCAATTATTGTTTTATATCTATCACGTTCATTTTTTAGATTATTAATCTCATCATCTTTATCTTTAATTTTTTGTTTTAGTTGATCAATTTCAATTTGATGATTATGTTTAAGCTC